TTTAAGTGCAAATAAGAATTAACACCTAGGGCTATGGTACTTTCTTCTGTATTTCCTGGCATCCTGGGGTGTTTGTTAAATTCTGCATTGGTTTGACTGTGGCTTCATTTTCTGCACCTTAGTTTCCCTGTCCATAAAATAAGGCATCTCTTTGAAGGTTTACTGAATGCCCCAGGAGATAATATATACTGGGATCTGAAACTGTACCTGGCACAGGCAAGCACTTAACTGCATTGCAGACATTATTCTTCCCTCATTTATCTGGGCTGGGGAGGGACTGTCAGGTAGAGGTGATTCTCTCTTACTCGAGGGCCCCTACCATCTCTTTTCTGGATGTTCTCTCCCCCTGCTCCCATCCAAGTCCTAATGGATGGCCTCTGAAATGGCCTTTGATCCTGCACTGGCTCCACAATGTTCCCATGTCCACTTGAGTTCCCCCTCCTCCCAGCAGACTTTTCCCAAGATGCTTACTTCATACACACTGCACGGTGACCTCAGATGCATTTTCTTGACTCCAAGTCCCTCGGAGCTCAGAAAGTGTTCACGTGGTACTGTCTCCTCCTTTTGACCTGACTTCTGCAGGCTTGGAAGGGCTTTCAGGTCACCTTCCTAGCTCTTGGCATCTCAACTCCACCACTAAGTTAGAGAGATAGAAATATTCCAAAGAAATTCCAAACCAACGGAGCCCAACATGGTGTTCTAAAGCCCGTGGAAGACTGTCCCATTTTGTCCCATGTGGGTGAAGACATCAAGGGACCCTTGCACTTATGGGCTCAGTGGCAGTGACTCACCATAGATCTTGTTGTCAGTCAGGGTCTGGGCTAGGCCAGTGGGCTCATTTACATGAGCCTCTCTCCTCTGGCAGCAGCCCTATTTGCATGGACCTCATTCTCAGCCAGAGGACTAAGATTTAAGGAGCTTGGCCCAGATGCAGGGTGGTGTCTGATCACTGGACACACACCTCACTTGAAAAAAAGGCTCTACTGCCAGCCATCAGCTAACTGGTGAATAAAGCATAAGATCACTTAGCTGTGCTACATGTCTCTGAGAATAGCTATGCAGACACTGACTCATTTAGTTCTCCCAACAGTTCTGTGAAGAAAGGACTCCCCATTGCTCCCTTTCAGAGACAAGGAAACAGGCAGAAAATGTATTTGCCCATGGTCACATGGCTAGTGAGCAGCAGAGCAAACAGTATAGTCTTACTGTCTGTGTTTAAGCACTAGATGAATGGGCCTCCCTAAGATTATAAAGTATGTTTGCATCACTGCCTGGATTCTAACAGGCATTTGGTTTCCCTTAGGCTTTTTTTTTTTTTTTTAGGCAGGAGCTCACTAACTAGTTCAGGCTGGCCTCAAAGTCACAGCAATCCTCCTGCCTCAGCCTCTCAGGGCTGGGATTACAGGCATGCACAACCATGCCTGGATTCCCTTAGGTTCTCTTGACATCTTTCCCTAGAATTTCTGGAGAAAGCAAGGATCAAGGCCACTAGTGTGTGAGAAGCGGGGGTCCTCATACCCTCTCTTTCTTTTCTATTTCAAGGCACTTCTTCTCTTCCCCTACAGGAGCATAAAGATGCCTCATTCAAGGTTAAGTCTTGGTTTCTCAGCATGGCACCCTATGGATCCTGTTCTACAACCCGAACCCTCTCCCACATACTGCATACCCCCTACCAGTCCTGAACTGAGCTCTTGCACCTTGACAGATAGGCTGTTTACATGACACCCCCCCCTCGTCGCCCCACACTCCCAGTTGTTGGGCATAATGTTTGATACTGTCACGGACTGGCCTAAGAATGCCTGTGAACAGACTGAAATAAAACAGTGGGGAAAGTTGTAGGTATTTCCTTACAAATAATTACTTTGAAAATTACTGTTTTAATTGGCGGAATGCAAAGACCTTTAACAGATCAATCTTTCTTTCATTCAGTGTTTTCATAACCTTGATATGAAGTAAAGTTAGAAGGCCTAGCATATTTGAAGGTGCCAGAATAACACTTCAGGGTCAGTGCTCTGAGACATGAACCTTCTTTTTCAGGCATGACCTTGGGACCTAGAGCTTTGTGTAACTCACATAACTCTATTAGATGCTCTCTCAGGTGAAGTTTGAGCCTTTATAGATGACTCAGACACTGCCACAACTTATATAACATCTTTATTCCTGCTTCAGTGTCCTGAAGCTAGAGATAGTAAAAATGTGGTGGTGGGGGGTTCCAGAGCATTCTAAACCTGGTATATCTGGCTGGAATATTTTAATTTCACTACAACCCCATCAAGAGACCACATCTTAAATCTCCCACAGACAGTATGACTGGCTCAATCTCGAGTTTCAGCCATATAACTAAATGCTCCCAAACGTACAGGGCAAATATTATTAATGTCAATGCAGTGCATATCACATAGAGGATAAGGAAGCAATCTTTATCTCAAAAGGGAAGGGACGCTTGCAGGATGCAAAACAGAACACCCCACTCCCTTGCACCCTTTCCTACATCCCCAAAAGACATACTCACGAAAGCACAAAACGGAAATTAGCATTTTCTGAAGACCTACAGGGTTCTAGTTCTAGCCACACCAGTTAAATCTTTGAATTCCAGTCCCACATCATATATTCTTGAGAATTCGATCTGAGAATTTTGGGGTTGGCTCAAGGCGACACATTGCAGCAAGGTGTCAGAATTTGAATCCGAAGCTGTATCCTTCCCTCTGCGCCACAGCTTAGAGAATGCAGATTTGCCGAAGGGAAATTAATGACCCACAGCTATCTTGTAACAGCTCTGCGCCACACTGGGGCCTCAAGTCGGTTCTCAGGACTCGATCTTTCAGTTTCCACCCAAGTGCCTGACTGCGGGAGCAAAGCGACCACTTGAGCACCCCCTTCAACCAGACAGGCTAGGGACGGAGCTGTCACGCCAAAGGCAAGTCACAGGTGTGACAATGAGCCAGGACTGGATCCCTAGGGAACAAGCCCTCTCGCTTTGTCACCAGGCAGGAGCGAGGTAACATGGCTAAATGTGGCCACCAGGAGCCGCAGGTCAGAACTGCGCTCAAAGTGCGGCCACAACCAAAACGTGGCCGCGTGGGAGGAACTAGGGATGACCTTGAGCGCGTCTTCAATTACCCCGTCTGATGACCTCGGGGGCACAGGCGAGGGTCCCCTGCGGTCTCCGCCGGTCATCAGCCGGCGTGAACAGACGGTGTCTGGATAACTAGGCGAGGCCGCAGGGAGGGGACCATCCTGGCCCTCGTGGACCAGCTCCCCGATGGGGGCGTGGCCTGTGCTTGGCCGCCGGCACGGGTCAGACCAATGAGCGCTGTAGTGGAGCTCACCGGGCTTGGCACGCTTGGCCGGCTGGGGGAGCCTGCGTCATCTAGGGGGCGGGGCTTCGGGGCTGCGCGAAGAGCGGTGGGTCACGCGGGTCGCGGCGCCGGCTATAAATACGAGCAGGCAGCGCGCTCCCCCAGAGTGATGGCTACTGGCGCGCGCTGCGTACTTTCTCTTCTCGGCTGCTGAGGCGCCCGCAGCTGCGTCCCGAGTGGGGAGCGAGCCCCGCCGAGCCGGTCCTGGTTCCGCCGTTCCGGGC